TGGTTTGTTCTTATGAGTGCACATGTATGTGTCTGCCTGTCTGCTTGGAAATTATGCCTTCCTCTGTCACTGAAAGAAATATCCAGCCCAGTTGTTTGGCCTTACAGAAGAAATACTTCTATTATTTGAGATTGGACTGAGTGCTCAAAATAAGTAATACAGGAAGAGAAATGGCCCAGGAGAAAGATGAATAAGTTTGTTCTCTTAACATTTATGTTTGCAAGCATTTTTGTTTTGTTGTTTTGTTTTTTGAGACAAGGAAGGAAGGAAATACCATTCAGTTTTTGACTAATATGATTCGTAAAATGCCACCCTTTTCTCTAAAAAAAGTAAAGAAGCTTCAAGGCCTAGCTTAAGGTTTGAGTCTTTCAAAATGTTTGTCTAATTTACTCCTTCCTCGGTCCATGTTGGAATCTTCTCCTGTGTATTCTCTGACACCTGATGTCCCCTTTATAGTTCAAAACATGCTGTTGTGACTGTATTTATATATGCATTCCTCTCAAATTCTTCATCTGTCTTTTCCACTGCTGCATTCCCAGTGCCCAACAATATGGAGTGATTGAATGAATGACCTTGTGCTGTCATAATGACCTTGTGCTATATAATTGGGTGACAATTTGGTTGTCTGATAGCATGCTCAGTACTAGCTTTCTTGAATTTATCCTCTACTATAGAACACTGAGTCTAGTCAATGTCAGTAATGTAGAGGGCACTGTTAAGTAATTGTTGCTTCAAGTGAGAATAGTGTTGTGAAATAAGCTTGTTAAGCTGCCCTCTTGGCTCCTGGATAATTCTTCCACCCCTTACACATTAGAACAATCTGGTCTGCTTAACAGATAAGATCTTGGGCATGCATATTTTAATAAAATATGTCCTTGCCTTATCTTACTAGTGGTGCTGAATGACTTGTCTTGAGTCATTCAGTTGTGTAGTAATTGAGTGCCTACTGTCTATCTTCCAGATGTTGTTCTAGGTACTTTAGGTATTGTACAGAAAAAAACGAAACCATATCCTACTCAAACATTGTACAGGGAAATAATAATTAGCATGTGAAAAAAGGAAATTTTAGATATATTAGCAAGCAATAATGGTATAGCAAAAAAAGAAAAAGAGGAGTATGAAGACAGGGAGAGAGATGCTATTTTAGATAGAGGGGTAAGGATGGGCCTCATTGAAAAGGTGAATTTTGAGCAAAAATTGGAAGAACTAAAGGAATTAGATCTGTAGATATCTAGGGGACAAGCATTCCAGGCAGAAGAAACTGTCATTGCAGAGGTCCTGTGGAGAACGCTGCATTCTTTATTGGAATTAGAGCAAGAAGTCCGTGTGGAGCTGATTAAGAGCATCAGAGAGAAGTGGATGAAGTCAGAGAGATGACTGGGGGCCAAGTGCTGGAGGATCTAAAGGCTTTGTGAGCCACTGAAAGGATTGGGTATTTTACTCTGAGTGCAGTAGAGAGCCTTTGAGGAAAGGAGTGACATGATCTGAGGTTTTTAAAGAAGCACCCTGCCCCCTGTGCTGAGAATAGACTGGACTGAGTCCCAAGTATCTGGATGAGTCTCAGAAGCATGTGGTTACAAATTGTCAATATTATTTTAAATACTCATTTAAAGATAGAAGAAATGCTCTGTGCCCTTATAATTGTTTTGAATAGGGCTGATTCGTGGTAGAGATACTGATCTATAGATATAGAAGAGATTTTCTTCTACATAGGTTCTTTCTAATCATATGCTTTTAAAAGGGGGAGATCTTGACACACGGGTATTATCCAAGAGTGCTTGGTAAGTAAAGGCCATAGAATGGGGCACGTCTGGAGTACTGAAAACCACTTATTACAGGGTTCTGCCTCCTCACTGGTACAGTACTCATAAGACTCATTTTGAGAAATGTGATTTATGCTCTTCATACTTCGATTAAATTTGAAGGAGACCATCTTCACAAGTGAGAAACAAGATTTATATCAGACCATAAAATCATCTTCTCAGTCTTCGGCCTAACAAAGACTGGTTTAATTCCTTTTCAAAGATGGGAGAACACAGCTTTCCAAGTGTACTCAAGTCAGGCCTTCTTTAATTTATTTTAGGAATTTGATTTTTATTACATTTTAGGAATTTGATTTTTGGGAATTAGATTTTTAGGGCAGTGACAATATTAGGCATGTCTTCACTAAAATGTAATTAAATCTACTTTCCCGAAACAAATACAATTGAAATTATGTGACTCTCCATTAATGTCCTCTTGAAATTTACTTTTTTTTTTTTTTTTTTAAGTGGTTCTGTGGATTAAACCCAGGCCTTACACATTCTAGACAAGTACTGTACTACTGAGTCACATTGTCAGCCCTGGAATTGACTTTAAAAATGTGACCATCTACATTTCCTCTCCATATGTCTCTCATAAACAGTAACTGTGCATGATGCTTGCTTTTGTCCTCTGTTACAAGATTTATTTTGGAAATCTTCCTAATGGGAGTTGAAATTTGAGAACTGATGTTCATGAATTGGATTTTGGGTCTCATGGAAACAATACATAGGGATTAGGTTGATTCCTATAAGACTTCTGACATAAATAATGCTTTTCAGTAGATTTCATTGTAGCCTATTAGCAATGCTTGATAGTTATTACCATATAGGCTGATACATTTTTTGTACTTATATAATGGTTTGACAGTCTTACCCTTGTTCTGGAAATTTTAGTGATAAAATATGGTCTCTAATGGGGAAGGGGTTGAGAGAAAATACAGAATGGTAGAATATTGTAAGTCGGGTGCTTATAAGACTGAAATTGGATTTTATCTTCCTCAGCCTGAGCCTTGAAATTTTCTTTTCTTTCCCTGTTTTTCTTTTGGTCCTGGGGATTTAACCCAGAGGTGCTCTACCAGTGAGCTGCACCACCAGCCCTTTTTGTTTTTATTTTAAGACAGGGTTTCATGAAGTTGAGACTGGCCTCAAACTTGTGTTGCCACAGAGCCTGGCCTGGCCTGGCCTGAGCCTTGGATTTAACTGATGTTACTGTTATGGCAACATTTATCCCAGGTTTTTAAGGAAAGTCCTAATTTCAGAACACTAACCAGGACTGGGAGTTTAGCTAAGTAGTAGAACACTTGTCTCCATGCACAAGGCCTGCGTTCAATCCCCAGTACTAGAAGCACAAAAAAATTATTCATAGAATTCTCTTCTTTATCAGATTATGTGCCAATTTGAGGTTTAAAAATATATTGGTGATTAGGATAGGATATTGCTATATTCTTGCCAGATTTATTCTTCCTTATTGAAGATTACTTTCATAATAAATATTAAGAATTATTAAGGAAATTATCTGAAGAAAATGATTCCCTGTTTTTGTGACGTCTATAAGACTTTTTTTTTTTTTAAAGAGAGAGTGAGAGAGGGAGAGAGAGAGAGAGAGAGAGAATTTTAATATTTATTTTTTATTCATCGGCGGACACAACATCTTTGTTTTGTATGTGGTGCTGGGGATCGAACCCGGGCCGCACGCATGCCAGGCGAGCGCGTTACCACTTGAGCCACATCCCCTCTATAAGACTTTTTAAAAGTAACTTTTTCTTGGTGTAAATTCTGTGTCTGCTGGAAAACTTTGGAGGCAATATGTGCTGGGATTGAGATCGTGCTCTCTGAGGTCAGACAGTTTGGACTCAACTCCTGACATTATTGATCCTTTTGACCTTGAGCAAGGTACTTACTAATCCTTGGTTTCTGTTTCCTCATCTGTGAAATGAGAATGCTGGTAGGGCCTACCTTATGGAGGTGTTGGGAGTAAAAATGCTTACAAAGTGCTTGGCACAGAATCAGTGCCAGCTGCCTTTGGTCATGTTATGTTGTGCTTGGAATATCTCTGAATCAGAACTACCTTTATGAAAACATTTCAATGAGTAATTGACTTGCCTAGCATTCATGAGGCCTTGGGTTCAATCCCCAGCCCTCAGAGACCAGACAGAGAGAGAATATCTAATTTACTCCTTAGATAAAGAGTCTAGAGTCCTCCTTTTCCTCAAGGCAATATAGACATGTGAGTTTTAAAAATATGAAATGCTAAGATCTAACCTTAAGGTTACAGATCAGTGAAATCCTGTCAATTTCATGAAATTGGGAACGAATGATGATAGTCCTTTAGGAAAATTGTGACAGAAAAAAGTTTCATTCCTTTTGGAGGAAGGAAAACACTTTTAAAGATAAAAGTGATTTTAGTCCCAGTCTGGTTTTTGTGTTCCCATACTGTGTAATGCAGTAATAAGTGGGTTAAGGCATTGTGTCTAGAATTTCTGTGGTGAACCTGTTGGACTTGAATATAATCATTCCCTCTTCTTACCATATAAAGATAGATTTAATAACCAGTACCACACCTATGGGGAGTTCTGGAATGCCTTGTCCTGTCAAACAGATCAATTGTGTTCCTTCTTCCTTTAAGGTAAATGTAGGAATATTGTCAATGAAAAATATCCTTTTACTAATCACTCCTGGAAAAGGAGAATTCTAGTTTGAAAATCTAAAAAATACTCCTATTTCAAAACCTGCAACATAAAAGGTTTATAATGAAAATATAGTGGTGGATTTTTAAAATATAAGATGCTTTATTGTTGCTATGCACTGAGTTGTACTGTATGTTTCTTCTGCAAACGTGACCTTTGTAAGAAAACTGATCCTGGCACGTTTATCTTCCTAATCTCCATCTTTGCTTTTTTCTTTTCATTTTTGAAATCTAAATAAATCATTTAGTAAATTCTTTTTCTCTAGAGAAACTGGGAAAAGATAGATAAGTAGGAATGAGTTTAAAAATGTTTAGACTAGATGGCTGGTGGTAAAGTTAGAATAGTGGGGTTAAAAATTTGCTACCACCTCCCCCCAAGAATTTGTTGAGCTTTTATTTATCATTATGGTACTTAATGGGTGGCCTTTCCTTAAAAACTCTGGAAAGTCTTGTGAAGATAAGAATTTCCCTACAGGTTCTTGATTATTGTGTAACTCTTCATTCATTTCTAGGTATCTGGTGACCCATCTCATGGGGGCAGATCTGAACAACATAGTGAAGTGTCAGAAGCTTACAGATGACCACGTTCAATTCCTTATCTACCAAATTCTCCGAGGTCTAAAGGTATTGACAATATCAGCAATAATTTTGAGAAATTAATTCCTTCCTTCCCTTCCTGCCATTTAGGGCTTAAAACAGATAATCACACGTTATCACATGTTATCATGTTCACTCAGTGACCATAACTACCAGCATTTGGCCAACCTTGTTTCTGTGGTGTTTCTCAAGCCATAGGTTATTTTAAAGCAGGTCTAGGCATCGTATCATTCCATCCAGAGATACCTCAGTATGAGTATCAGAGAGAGAAGGACTTTTCAATATTACATCTAAAAGTATAACTTATTGATACAGTCTAATATCTGATTAGTATAATATTGAAGCTTTAAAAAATTTCTCAAGCAGAGAAACAGTGTTGTAAAATTAAACCATGTTTGATATTTAGCAACTTTGAATCCTTATTGAGTCCCAAAGTGCCAGCCAGAAGATAGGTTGAAAGATTGAGTGGAGTCAATGTCTGTGGAAATCATTGTTATGATAAATATATATATCATTGATAATTTTACTGATGTTATTTTACTGTGAACTAGTAGTTCTTACTGATTCATTAAAATGTGCTGGAAATATACTATAGAATATGGCAGTGGGAGGCTGGAAGTAACTTTCATTTAACTGACTTTTTTTTCCTCTCTGGCAGTATATTCATTCAGCTGATATAATTCACAGGGTATGTACCATGACTTTGATTAAATTATTCTAGGGCGGTAAGGTGGGGAGAGTAGAAGAATGGCATCCTGCCAAGATTTGGTCTAAACTTACTTTTTACATTTACCTATTGATCCATTGCAACTTTGCTCTGGGTTAGAATGATTGAAGAAAGATTTATAATTTGTGCCTGATGAAGGCTAATTGGTCTAGATACCATAACATTAGATGTAATGGAGACTGTCTGTTTATAACTGGATGAGGTCTTACTGTTGTCTGGATCCTCATTATTACCTGGAGAGAGAATTTATCATGGATCATAAAGTTGATCCTGTCTTCTGTGTACTTACTTCCTAGGACCTAAAACCTAGTAATCTAGCTGTGAATGAAGACTGTGAGCTGAAGGTAAGAGGAAGCGACAGCAGTGATTGTTTACTTCACCTGACAAACCTGACAAATTTCACAGGGACAGATTTATAGGCCATGACTTTTTAATCTGAAAAATTCATATTGTCCTTAGGAATATCAGACTTTGAAATTTAAACCACAGTCTGAGTAAGCTGTTTAAATGACTTTGATAATGGCATTAGGTGTTTACATTTTAAAATAAAGTTAAATTAAAAATGTGACTTATTATTCATAATAAAGGAAAACTATAGTCTGACTATCAAAGCATACTGAAGCAGTAATTACTAGATTAAATAGATTCCTAAAAGGAAAAATCATAGAAACTTACTCAAAATAATTCAAATAAGAGACAAGTAATTATGGGGCTGGGATTGTGTTTCAGCAGTAGAGCGCTCGCCTAGCATGTGCGGGGCCCTGGGTTCGTTCGATCCTCAGCTCCATATAAAAATAAATAAAATGAAGATATTGGGTCCAGTTACAACTAAACAATAAAAAAAAGAGAGATAAGTGAATTAATCATATATAAAAGAGTAAGCAGCTCTGGAACTTGATTTCTTCTTTTTTCTTGCCCTGTTTAATGAACATACCAGAATATGAATATTTATTCACCTGTTAGGGTGAATAAATAGTTCCAGTTTGGAGCTATTTGAAGTTACTATGAATATTCAGTTTTAAACCTTTGTATGGACGTATGTTTTATTGCTCTTGAGTAAATACCTAGGAGTCACATTTTTTATTTTGCTTGTAATTTTATGTTTCTAAATTCTTATAGTTTGTTCACCATGCATTCTAAGTGTGGAGTGGGAGATCTGCTTATGAAAGTGCTTTACTGTTCCTTTTTCACAAGGCAACAGAAATTTTCCCTGTCTAAAGTCCTAGCAGTTTGCCTGTTCCAGTGCCTGATTTTCTCCTTCCCTTTAGATTCTGGATTTTGGACTAGCTCGACATACTGATGATGAAATGACAGGCTACGTGGCTACAAGATGGTACAGGGCTCCTGAGATCATGTTGAACTGGATGCATTACAACCAAACAGGTATTGATTGCTTACATGGGTTATTTATGGCCTTATCAATACCATATTGGATACATTTGGGATTCTCAGAAGTAGCGGTAGAGTGGGAAGAAATATGTTTCTTCCCTCAGTGATCCTTTTAAAGCCTACAAATAGAAAATATTTTACTTGCTTAGATGGGGAGGTGGAGCTTTTTTATACACAGCTTTTAAGCTTTGTGATTTAGTAATTGAATTTTTATTTATTTAGATTTTTTCAACATAATTCTTTGAGTACTTCTAGCAGAAGATAATGGGTTCATAATCTTAACCTCTTTATGTTACTTGGGAGAATCCACTACTTTACCACTGAGAACCTTTTTCCCCTTTGTGAACAGTTTATTTCTTTTCCCTTAAGTATGTTTAGACTTACCCTGCCTGTGAAGCTCTTTACTGGGGTGAAGGTATCAATCTTATTTATCTGTATAGAAATGAGTAAAATGTTGAATCTCAGATGTTTTAAATATTAATTTGAATATTCCACCTCTACTTATAGTTCCATTTGTGACCAAGCATAATAATAGTGATAATGTACGTATGTACTTTTATTTCTCTTTAATTTTGCCAGTGGATATATGGTCAGTGGGATGCATAATGGCGGAGCTGTTAACTGGAAGAACATTGTTTCCTGGTACAGACCGTATCCTTTTAAAAAGTTTTGGATTCTTATTTCTTATCTGTATTCTAATGTCTGTGGTTGTGTATTATCTTTACTTATCTATAGAGAAGGCTCTCAATTTCTTGCTTTTCAGATATTCTGCCCTCTTGCTGAGTAGCTTGTCTTGCCAGGAAAGTGTTTTTTTGTTTTTGTTTTTTTTTACTATTTATTTTTCAGTTATAGGTGGACACAATATCTTTATTTTATTTATGTGGTGCTGAGGATCGAATACAGTGCCTCACACATGCTAGGCGAGCGCTCTACCTCTGAGCCATAACTCCAGCCCCAGGAAAGAGGCTTTAATTTATTTTTGTTAACAAGAAAAACTTTTCATAAGCTGAAAAATCCCTTCATCTGTCATCTTTTTACAGCAAGTCCCTTATATTAATCTTTCCACAGCAGTTCTAAGACCTGAGCAAACTCATGAGAAGCTGTAGATCCCATTGACAGGTTTAGTTGACTGTACAAAATCTTCATGAGCACAGATACTCTTTACAAATCAAGGGTATCTTGCAGTTATGTTTGGTTTATGTACTAAAAGGCCATGTTTGGGCCCTGTTATGGCAAACCTGCTGACTCTTGTTATGTTTGTTGTTTAACAACAAATAGTAAAAGCAAGAAGTGGTCACCATGTCGTGTACCTTTGTTTTGCAGCACAACTTTATCCCACATGATAGCGAAACCTCAGTTTATTGTCTAGTTTATGGCTCATCATAGCCTTTTATTTCATCCTCTTTCCTAACTGCTATATGTTTGTTTCATGATGTAGTAATATTGTCATCAAAATGTAATTTGTTGGAACACCCATCAATCACACTTGAGGAAGATGTTTAGGGGAGAAAGATTTTTAAAATATATGTCTAGAATTAGTTTGGGGGACTTTTGTAAAATTTAATTGAGTTTCAAATGGTTTTGGTGGACTTTTAGAAATGCTACAGTTACCTGTATGTGGTCATGCTTAGAGATCTAAAAACTGTTTTAGCCTCTTACCTAAATAAACCCATTAAGATTACAAACCAGAATGTCAGTTTGCTTCATTTATTGTTTGGGATATATTTCTATGGTAACTGTAATTTTAATGTTAATATAGTCTGTTCAGAAATTCTATTCTAACTGTATTCTGCTAGACAGAATGTATTTTCCGTGTTAACTGGAAAAAAGCTTTTGTTCCCAGGTAAAACAGTTCATTTCTCTCTGAGTATTACTGAATTGATACAGAGTTCAATCTGCCTGTATTTAGCCCACCTTATCACTCTCCACCCCTAGATTTTAAGTCAGTTTAATAGAGTGTGTTTCCCTAATCTTTTTAAAGTGGTTTTACATCTGTTTCTTAGAAATCTGGTATATGTATATTAATTATTGTCCAAGTTGAGAGAATTAGGGGAAATTTGTAATCCCCTTGGTTTGCCCTGGAGCAGATGCTGTCCTCTGTTCCCTTCTCCCCTTCCTTTTCTTGGCGTCTGTATCTCCAGCTTTTGTTTGGCCAGTCACAGACACACTTGCCTACATAGACACACACAGTGGCAGAGAGACAGTGTAGGATGCTGATAGGAGCCCATGCCCTGGAATCAAATTCTGGGTTTTGATCTTAGCTTTTACTTCCAGCTGTGTAACTTTAAGGAAATTTTCTAACCTCTGTGTGTCTGTTCCCTTAATCATAAAATGCTAGTAAAAATATAATTCACAGGCTTTTGTGAGAATTCAGTGAAATATTATGTGGACAGCATTTAGACCAGAGCCTGCCAGTAGATGCATCATATTCATTGTGGTCTTTGAAAACAATTTTTCCCTCCCTCCACCTGCTTTATTATCTACCTGTGAGTCATTAATGATTGTTATTATTGATTCTTTGGCAGGTGGTAAAGGATAGATCCCCTTGGCAGGCTAGTGATAGAAAGTGTTCAAAGCAGTGTGATATGGCCCTTTTAGAATGCTAACTTTCATTCTGTAAGAAGTGTTCCTTTTTTGCATACCTAATATTTAAACTTTAATAGAGGATTTTTTGGAGGGGCGGTACTATGGATTAAACCCAATGGTGCTCTACCATTGAGATAGATTCTTTCAAAATTTTTATTTTGAGTCAGGGTTTTACTGAGTTGCCCAGGCTGACCTCAAACTTGTGATCCTCCTGCCTCAGCCTGAGATTACAGGTGTGCGTTACCATGCCTGGCAGGATTCAGGTTTTTTTTTTAAATTTTACCATTTGTTGGTGAGCCTTTATTTATTTTTATGTGGTGCAGAAGCAAACCCAGTGCCTCACACATGCTAGGCAAGACTCTACCACCAAGCCACAACCCCAGCTCAGGATTCATTTTTTAATACATGAAAATTCTGATTTTAGTAATTCACCATGTCCTTCTAGTTGGCTCTTTTCTGGACATTATCATTGGTTGTAAACATTGAATTTGAAGGATTTATATTTATAGTATACTTAATCTTCCTGTTGTCAGTTATCATCTTTGAGATATAGCTTTAGTTGCCTGACAAGAAGGAGAGAGGGAAGTGTTTGCCATTTTTTTTTTTTTTGACTGGAGTGTACAGTCACTTATGTTCTAGCACAGTGCTTCTCAATCTTCACTGTGTATCAGAATCATTTGAGGAAGCTTTAAAAAAAGTTCTAAGCTGGTCATGTTGGCACACACCTATAATCCCAGGGACTTGAGAGGCTGAGGAAGGAGGATCATGAGTTCAAAGCCAGCCTCAGCAGTTTAGTGAGGCCCTGATTAATTCAGCAAGACCCTGTCTCTAATAAAATATAAAAAAAGGACTGGGGATGTGGCTTGGTACACACACACACACACACACACACACACACACACACAAAAGCTCTAGATGCCTGGGCACCACCCTAAAGACTTCAGTTGGTGTGGGTCAGAGCACAGGATTTGGTGTATTTAAGTCTTCAGGTGATTCTAAATTGTGCAGCAGAGGATTGAGTACAACTAGCATTTAACCCAGTTGAATTTAGTTTCTTCCATGGCTGATCCTGGAAAAGGTTATTTAGGTTACTAGTTTTTGTCATTTTTCTTAAGATACAGATGAGATCAAAGAGTTCCTTCCAGTATCCTATTCTTTTCCAGTCCTTTGATTTTTAGAATATCTCTTCAAAACCTTTGGAAGAGGTGCTGGTTTGGCTCTAAAAGTATGCAGCTACAGATGGTTGATGATTTTTAAATGCTCCTGATTACTGAGGCAGCCTCCAGAGAGTGATGCTTATTGGAGTGCACAGGTTTTTCCTGGTTTTCCTTATTGATTAATTATTGTGTATTCGGAACTGGTAGTCTTGGCTTCTAGATAAGAACTGTCCTATAGAGCTTTTTGTGATGTTGCAAATGTCCTGTCCAATATAGTGTTGGTGGCCACTAGCCTGTGTGGATATTGAAATTGACTAGTGCAACTTAACTTTATGGAAAATATTTTGTGTGATTCAAAACATAAAATTCATTTTAATTTTTATTGTGGTAAAGTAGACATAACAAATTTTACCATTTTGACCATAATTCAATAGTGTTAATTACATTCACATTATTGGGAAATCATCACCAATATCTGCTATTCTTGTAAATCCTTCCATCTGGCTTAATAGTATTATTATTTTGTAAAAAAGGAAGCCCTTTTCTAGACACCTAATTGACAAGGTATTTTAAATGAACATAATTGACAATTTAATATTATAGGGAGGGAGAAGTCAAAATGTCTCTTCAGGTGAGTACTAACTTATTCAGATGCTGATTTTGAAATAAGTGAGTCAGAAGATGTTATAACTGACACTTGACACATCCTTAAGCTTAAGGCAGAGAGAGAATGAATTTTATAGTCCTATTATGTGTCAAATACAGTTTTTCCTACCAGAGATCACAGCCTTGGTGTGTTCATTTCCTTTCCTAAGTAATCCCTTCATGTATGAAAGCCCTGCCCCTTCTTTCTTTTTATAGAAATGGTCTTACATCTGCTGGAGGACGATGGGGCTGTTGAGTCACATAGTACACTTTACAGGATGTCTGCTGCTCTGCTCATGTGCATTTTCTTGGTATATTAAGTTGTCCCGTTAATTCTGTGGTTACTCATTTCTTCTTTTGATGTTTTCCAAGCATGTTATGAAATATTTCAGACACACCACAAGACAAAGAATAATATAATGAACACCTGTGTGCACTTCACCAGATTATGGGATGGTGTAGGCAGCTGAGCCCAAGCTGCTGGAGTGCCCCTTCTCAGTCACATTTATCCATCACTTTCAGTGCTTGGTTTAAAACATTCTTCCTCATTTTAGAAAAGCAGTTTCATGGTAGACTCTAAAAGCAAATATTGTAATAAATGTTGAAGAAGAAAAATATTTTATTAGATTGTCATTTTGCCCTTTGTTGTTTAATTGAGAATGTATTTTTGGAAAAAGCTAGACTTCTCAGGTTTGTTGATAAACCTAGGATATCTTAAGAAAGAGAGAGAGAGAATGTGTGTGTGTGTGTGTGTGTGTATTAGTTATAGTGAAAATTACTACTTTGACAGCCTAAAAGAGAAGGAAGTAGGCTGGATTTCATTTGAGTCCATTCTGTTTGTCACTAGAAGGACTTCAGCCCTCCCAAAGGATTCCGTAATTTATCCTTTTGTGGATTTATTTCATTGAAAACTGTAACTCACAAGCAGCCAGGTCCCGCTACTGATCCTGCTTATCTTCAACTCTGTGGCCTGTGGGGGTTTTCTAGGAATATGCCTAGAGCCCTTAGAAATGATTAGAATATCCATCCCTCTTTTACTTTTCCTCTAATTATCCTGTTACCCTTAGGGGTTTTGTTTGTTTGTTTTTGTTGTTTGTTGTTTGTCCTTACCTGTTCATTTTGACTATCTTTTACTTCTGTTACAGAGAACTTACTCTAAAACATAATCTTAAGGCCTAATATCTTTTTCTTCATTTGTTTAAAACACAAATCTGGAGATTTATGATTTTAAAATTTGACTTTATGATCATTATAATTAAAACCCATTTTAAACGAACAGTAAACATGGTCTTCTGCCTAGGGGAAAAGGTGCTAAACCTGTCCTAAAAGAAGGCTTGCTTTGGCATTAGCTAACTGTCATAATGTAGTAAATTTTGCTTTGCTCTGCTATATAGCTACTTGAAGCTCCATCTGGCCTTAACTGCCTGGACAAATTGTAGTAGACTTACAGTAGCTGGTCCTGTGGGAAGATTGGCCTGGATTTCAGTGGATTTGCCTGAAATCTTTTGGAAAACCCATGGTGATTTCTTCTGAGGTTTGCATGCTTTGACTGCCTTCATGCAAGTGTTTTTAGGTACTAACTAGATTTTCATTTTATATTATGTGTTTGCTAATCTCCTAAACATTGGCTATTATGCTCTATCAACCCTGTGTACATGACCCTTACAGATTCATGGCACTGTATTTGTATACTCTTCATGGTGTAAACACTTCTCAGTGAGTGAGTGGATCTTTGTTAGGCCATTATTAAATGAAGCAATTTTTCTGGACTACTTCTTTGTATATATACTCCCCATACCCTGTGGTCATTCTGGGTTTTGAGAACAACGTGAAGTGGTAGAATGGGGTTGAAAAGCATATTACAGCAAGTCTTTCAAGTTAGCTAGTGTTTGTCAGGCTACTCCATTGAATGTACTGAAGGTAAAAATGTGCCAGTCCTCAAAACCAGAATGATCAGACAGAGTGAAAAGTGAGTTGTAAAAGTTACTTGAACAAATGTCTGTCCCTGATTATAAAACAAAATGGAATGATAAAAACAGTATAATAAAGGTACTAATAGATTATTGGAAGAAAAAAGAATTAATTCAAATTCAAGATATCCAGGAAGACTTAATGGCAGAGTTCTTGTTTGAGGATTTTGAAGGGTAAATAGGAAGAGAAAAGGCCTGGCACAAAGAGATAGTGGAGGATATTCGCATTTATTACTTGCATAAATAAGAACTTGGAAGCTTAGAAGCACCTGGAATATTTGGTGTGAGTTGAAGCATTGAGTTCATTCAGGAATGTTAGTTTGAGGCAGTCAGAAAAGTGGCTTGTTACCAGGGCCACTGATGTGAAGCTGAGGAATTGGGGTTTGAATCTCCAGTCCTGAGGTTGATTCAAACTGGCAGACAGGGGGAAAGATACAGGGTCCCCAGCTTGCTGGTGTAGTGAGCTGCTATGGCCAGTGGGAGCTGCATTTTCTTCACATAGAGTGGGGTGAAGTTAGGGCCATTAAAGGCAATATTAAATTCAACTCCCTTCGAGTACTCAGAAAGAAGTCTTTTTAGCAACAGTACCAGTCTCAACAGCTTTTATAGATTCATTTTGATGTATGTATTGTAAAACCACCTGTTTGAGAGTTGAAGTAGTCTAGTTTTGTTTGTTTTTTTTTTTTTCAGAAGGATAACAATTCCATTAAGTGTTCCTAAAGAGAATGTGAGAGAACTTTATAAATTTTTGTTAGGTTGAGAAATTAACAAATCCTTTACTGATTTCCATTATAATTAATCTGATTGTGTTAGGGTAAGACAATATCCATCTCACTCCCACTCCTGCTCTGTCCCCATGAACATGTTTTTAAAAATGTTGTGGCGCATCTCTGTAATCCTAGTGGCTCAGGAGGCAGAGACAGGAGGATTGCAAGTTCAATGCCAGCCTCAGCAACTTAGCAAGGCACTTAGCAACTCAGCGAGACTCTGTCTCTAAATAAAATTTTAAAAGGACTGAGGATGTGGCTCAGTGGATAAGTGCCCCAGGGTTCAATCCCTGGTATTAAAAAAAAAAAGTTTCTGATCACACCTTGAACTAAGAAAGCTGTATTTAAATTTTACCCTCAGACCACACTGCTTTTTGTCATTTGTAGATGACAAAGTTAGAAATAACTTATGTGGATGGATTTGTTTTTAATTTATCCTTGTTTTTTTATAGAATACAGTTATTTGTGTCTAAGTTAGAATTAAACATACCCAGCACACCTTTTCTTTTCTTTCTTTCTTTCTTTTTTTTTTTTTTTTGATGGAACTGGGGATTGAGTCCAGGGTTGATCTATCTACCACTGGGCTATATCTCCAACCCATTTTATTATTATTATTATTATTATTTTATTTTATTTTTTTTTTTTTTGAGATAGAGTTTCCCTAAGTTGCCCAGGCTGGTCTTGAACTTGGATCCTCCTGCCTCAGCCTTCAGCACACCTTTTCTTAAAGGGCCAGATAGTAAATATTTCAGGCTTTGGAAATCATGTGGCTTCTGCTGTAACTTACTTTCTTTAGTGTGAAAGCAGCTAAAAACAGTATATAAACAAATGAACATGGCTGCATTCCATCAAAACTTTATATATCAAACAGGCAGTGAGAAGGGATTTGTTGATTCCTGTCTAGAAATTTCTTCTGTTTAAGTAGATTTCTGATCTGGGGAGTTAAAAAAAAAAACAAGAAGCCTGTCATCCTATTGCATAAGTAATTACTGTAACTTAGGCAACTATGGCTTGCAGAAGCCATTGTTATTAAGTTACACCCTCTTGCCCTTACATGTATAATCATAAGCAAAAATATTTTCTTTCATCCTGCTCTATCCTCTCCTCTGTTATTTTGTGTGCCTTTTGTGTACTAAATGTTAAGCTAGGTACTGGGGACAGACGTTGAACAGGCAGAGTGGCCCCCACCCTCACAGAGCTGCAGACCAGAAGAGGTGACAGACAGTGAGCACACAGAGTAACTCTAGACTGTGTAAGTGCTATGATGTCACCAAGCATGGTGTTGAGAGCGGGAATAAGGGGGTGGGGGTATTTTTTTCATTCATTTAGAGTTGACAACTCACACATCCTGTACCAGGGATGTGTTCCCAACTGAGCTGCTTCTTTCCCCAGCCTTCAGACCACTCAGACTAGTGAGGCCTCTCTGAGAGTGAGGTTTAAGCTGAGACCTAAAGTTGAAAAGGAGCTAATCATGTGAAAAACCTGACAGGTGTCAGACAGTCATCCTCCACTCCTCTTCCCCCACCTCCCCCCCAGAATGGCAGCACAAATCTGAGTAAACTATTCAAATGCCCACAGAAAATATTAAAAAGCTATTTTATATGATTTTTTTTTCTCCTTTAACTTCCTTTTTCTTAGGCAAGGTTAAAAACAATAGGACAAGTGGCAATTTTTTGTCTTCTGGTTAATATGCACACATACACGTAAGTATACATCAAAGTGATGGCTGCCAGAATAAAGATTTGGGCATTGGGAGTTAGTATTTAGAGCCTTTTGGATATGTGAAATTTGTTAAGCATTCAGTTTTCATTTTGCATTTAGAAGGTTGCAGCCTCCTTTGTTCAGCTGTTATGGTGCTCTTGAAAGAATATGCAGTGGGAGAGTGCCCTCTGCTGGCTGGCTGTCACTCACAGTGCTCTGCTTACTACCGCCGGTGTGGGAGCTAGAGGGCAGCTCAAGTGGTCATGCTTCCAGATCCTAGCAGGCTTCACACTGTCATATTACAAGCCCTTTAGGTCAAGCCTTAGGGGAATATTCCCGTCCCCAGCTCCTGTGCTCTGTGGCTCTTTTCTTTTCTGTAACCCTTGACTTTCCAGTACTGTCTGCTTGACTGACAACTGATACTTTGATGGAAGGGGAGAAGGTAGGTGTAGCCCAAGCGTGGACTCAGTGGAGCCTTTGTGTTTTAGCTATGACCCACTAAAGTCACCTCTTTACCAATACATGGTGTTGACAGATGCACAAAATGAATATGAGTTGAATATGTGTGTGGCAGCATTTTGAACCTTTGTACAGGAGGAATGTGTCCTACTTGTGGTCATCCTGCAGAAATCTTGACCTAGATGAATTCACATTTTGGTTTGGTTTGGGGTTTTTAATTTTTGTGTTTGGAGTATTTTGTTTGTTTGTTTTATTTTATTTTGTTTGTTATTGTTTGTTTTTTCATTTTTATTTTGTCCCAACATTTTCCTTTATAGTCCACCATTAGATATTGATCAGTTGAAGCTCATTTTAAGACTCGTTGGAACCCCAGGGGCTGAGCTTTTGAAGAAAATCTCCTCAGAGTCTGTGAGTTGATGCTTTGATTGTAATTATCTGCCCTGTTGGGCGTCTCTGCCTTTTGCCTTCTGCGGTCTGTACTTTGACCCTAGTATGTTTGTAAGCACGTGTGCACTTTGCGTGCTAACTTCCAAGATGAGGTATATCTGTGTGTACGTGTGTGTGCACACATCTGTGTGTGCATGCATGTGCCTGCTTGCATGCATGAGTGTGTTTTGCTCTCTCTGTTTGGGTATATACTTAGATCATGGGAACCTCCTGTGGGCAATTGTATCTTAGTAAAAATGAGATTTGAGATTCAAGTTCATTGCAAGAGTTTTATAGAAAATTTGTGTCTCTGTTTTCAAGCCCTGACTTCATCTCTCACAGAAGTTTCACTTATATTCAAAAGCTCTGTTCACTTTTTGGTTAGTGTTCAGTCTCAAAGTATGAGCCTCACCATGTAAATTCATAACTAAAAGAATGAAATGTCGGGGGGTGAAATGTACATTGTCTATATCCTGTTGTCCCTTTCCAAAAGTTACTTGCTTTTTATTATTTTAGAGTTGACAACTCATACATCCTATACAAGGTGCATGTTCCCAACCGGCCTCCCTTTCCCTGCCGGTCCTCGGACCACTCAGAGGAAACACTGCTACTCCTGACTCTCAGACCCACTGGAGTACATTTGTAAATCCGTCCTCCCATAGCTCTCCTTGGTAATTACTAATTGACTAACCCAAGAAAAGACTTTAGAGCTAGTACTTTCCTTCTCTAAGCAGGGATTTAGACAGAAGCCATGAGAATGTGTCTCTGGCTTAGTTTGGTTATGATTTCCTGCTATTGGTCATTTGGGGGACCAGAGATAGGAGAGAAGCTATGAAAGCCAGCCTTTTTCCCATTTTTCCCTCTATTGGCTGCCAGTGAATCAGACAAAAGGGGAATAAAGAGCCATGGAGCTCCAGCTTCACTTTTCTGGATTCTCCTTCCCACATTTCTGACAGAAGGGCCCTTTGCGCAGTTGGGAAGACTGCCAGGGGGTTCAGGCAGGCATGAACAGGTGAGTTTAACTGTTATCATGTCCCTGACAAAAAAGGACCATGATGCCCAGTACAGTTTTTCAGTTTCCACTCCAAGGGATGTAAAAGGATGTGCTGGTTCTGTTTCATTTTGTTTCATTTCCTCGATTAAGATAAGGAAGTAAGAACACAGAAAAGCTGTGACTTGCCCAAGTCATGCATTGAGTCACTTGGCAGTGCTGAGTACAGATCCCAGATGTTCTAATAACACGATCCAAACTGTAAATCTCATGTGATTGTATAGTATTTTGAAAATCATCAGCAGAACTATTGACCACAGTGTCAACCTGAAAGGTGTTTCTTTTCCTTTATGAAACAGCAGAAGCTGGATTAGAGTGAATCAAAGAAGAAATGAGATGATGCTTAGGATGGACAGGTGATTGTCGTTGTTTTAAAAGCATTTGCTTAGAAAGATTGTCAGTAAAAGGACAAGGGAGACAGAGGCTAGAAGAAGCTCAATTAATGAATAGTGCTAATGAGACTGAGATAGCAAATGAATTCCCTGGGAATGACTACTAGTAACTCTCTCAGTCCCTTCTCCCACCCTACCCGTCTGCTATTAGTTACAAGAAGTTCTGAAATGCAAAGTATGGGTAAAATTGTACTTATCTATCATTAATCCATCATTTATTTTAAAGAAAGAAATATTATTTACATAGCCTAATGATGAAATGTCTTTATCTTACATGAAAATGGGACACATCATATATTTCAACAGCACTAGTACACATTGGGCGTAATGAAATTGAGGTCCAGAATAAAGAACTTACTCAAATAATACCAGTATTGGGTATAGGAATAAGAAAGGACTTTTCCCCCTACACAGCTGTGGCAAGTGGGTAAAAGTAGTTTATTCAAAAAGGTAGGCAAGATTAACTTGATCTTAGTGACACTGTCCAAAGTTAGTGACCTTTTTGTCCTAAAAGCACATGATGTGTGAAGTACAGAATGGAAAAATAACAAAGCCAGGTGAGTAAAACTATTCAAAGATTTTAAAAATTAAAAGAGACATTACATTACATATAGTAAACAGAAAGCAAGCAACTGTTTTCATTACCCCTGAAAAGTAATGAATAGTGGTGCCAACATTTTTTGAGGAATTCAGTCAATAAGTAATCAGAAATTCTGATTAAGAGACTACAGTAATGGCTAGGGAACAAGTTAGGTAAGGAGTAGATGGTCATGATGGATGCCTGAATATAGAATTTATTTAATTAGTATTCCAGCTCCTATAGTAACCAGTGAAAGCAAAAAAAATACTAAAAAAGCAAAGCCTGATTCACATTTTTCCTTAGAAATATAATCTGAATCTGACAGCAGGGGGATAAATCACCTATTTTGACTAAAGGAGACAAAAGCAGAACATGTACAGGCAAAGTACTGTTCACAGAAAGGAGAAGAGAAGTTGTTGGGAGTCTCATGGTTTAGACCTGACTCGTAACCTGCTCTTGCTGGTTTACTGTGTGAGCCCCCTTTTGTTATTTCTCTTGGCATGCAAAGTACTGTTGGTTATGCAGTTTGTTTAAAGTAAATCTACCATTTGTTGTGAGAATGCTTTTTTAATTTGCTGGCCTCTATCTTGGGGCCTATGGAGCAGGAAAGTAAGAGTGGAACACAGGGCCCCAGCTCTGTCCCCAGATCCAATCTCAAACTTGCATTAGCAGTAATTCGACCACTAGGGAGTTGAGTTCAGGAAATGAGCTGAAGTGGAAAAATTATTCAGGGAAGCCACTAAAAAGTGAAATTACTTGGTTCTTGCTGAAGGTAATGCTTCAGCTGAAGGACAGAATTGATAGTTTCAAGACAGGGAATAGAAAAGGAGTCTATTGAATTATTTTGAAGGTTTAACAAATACTATCACTTCTACTTTTAGTAGGAATGCATAATAAACTGATAGTTTTTATCATATTTTGGAAGAAGGGATTTATGTTAATATTGGAAGCACAGTTAAAAGTGAAGTTTAGCTGGGTGCGGTGGCTCATGCCTGTAATTACAGACACTTAAGAGGCTGAGGCAGGAGGATCACAAGTTCAAACCATCCTCAGCAACTTATCAAGGCCTTAAGCAATTCAGTGAGACCCTGTCTCTAAATAAAATACAAAAAAAGGGCTGGTGATGTGGCTCAGTGGTTAAGCGCCCCTGGGTTCAATCCCTGGCACCAAAATAAATAAATAAATAACTGAAATTTGGAGTGCAGCTTAAATATGTGCTTGTATGTAAGGAAAACCTCACAGTTCTGCTGTTGCAGATGATTTCGGAACATTTTGCCCATTTTCTCCCAGCTGTTTAAGTGAAGTTTATGTATTTACTCATTGGAGAGACTTAACAGGAATGATAATTGTGGCATGCTATGATACTGTCAGCGGCCTGTGACTTCTATTTTTGTCTTTGCCATTAGCCTCTAACTTCCCCCCATCTCCCCTTTCTTCACTTACCATTGTATGTTTTTGGCATGTATTTTAAATGTACTGTTACTAATGTCTTTGAAACTTATCAACCTACACTCCACTTGTACCTTCATTTGGAGAGGTGGTTCCTTGGAGAACCTGTACCATAAAATTTAAACTATTCCTTGAATGACTATATCAGATATTTTATCTTGTCTAAAGTTGAATCAAAATTCTCTCAATCATCTGTATTTATCTGACAGGCAAACAGGTGTTGGCTGTCAGTTACATGAAGTCAGTTGCCTGGCTGGCATCCTGGATCAAGGAGCAGTCTGTTTCCAGGGAATCTAAAATATTTAACCATAAAGATGATGTTAACATCAAAGAAAGTTAATTTTTTTTTTTATTTGCATGGCCATTCACTGACTACAGGCCTAATAACTCATGCCATTCACCAAAGCATGCTTTAACATGCAACCTTGGGCTCTGACCAAGGTGGGTGGGGAGTAGGTTTTTTGTTTTGAGGTGGCTTTTTGACCTTTCTTAAAATTTGAGTTGAAAGTTATTTTTTTGCACTGTATGTTTAACAATGCCCTTGACTAGGCATCTAAGATATTAACCAGCTTCAGCAGATTATGCGTCTGACGGGGACACCCCCTGCTTATCTCATTAACAGGATGCCAAGCCATGAGGTGAGAATAAATAGACTGTATAGGGGTATCTAATTCAGAAGACCACATCCTCATTTTATTGCCCCTGTATAACCAGCACAGTTTTTAATGTCACTGAATACTTGCATGTGCCTTGAGGATTACTAAGGCAGTGACCGCCTATGTACTATTGCAGGTTGTTGACATTTGGGATAAAATATCATCTCATTGAGAATGAGAATATAATGTAGGCTTGTAAATAGAAAATGATGTTCCTTTTATTTGATTTTATGAATTTAGTGCTCAAGGGACTGTTTCTTCATAAGTCCTGTGCCTCTAGTTAGGGTATGACACCAGATGTGACTTCATCAGAGGCAGTTAACCAGAGATCATTAGCAGCTTTTTCTAGTGACCAAAAGATGATTATCATTAATAATAAAAAAAAAACCTATCAAATACTCAGTACTAAGGGGTATACTATAAAAGAAAATACACAAATAATATGAATACTTAGGTAGGGTTAGATGTTTTCTTTACTGATTCTTAACCATTTAAACTTACTCTAGTTTTGTCATCAGAGGTGACTGGGGCTACTGCTTTCTAAGGTGCCCTTATTATTTTGGGGAAGCAGGTTAGCATCACAGAAGGCCCTTTCCAATGACTTTGTTTCTATTCCAGTTATATTCAGGCAGCCTTTTTATTCGTCTTTGTTAAAGGGATGACTGTTCTCTAGAGAGAGACAGGTCTTCTTACCTCTGTTTTCCCTTCCTCTTTTTGTCTACACACTCAAGTAGAAAGGGATTGCAACCGTGTGTGTATACGACCAGTTCCTATAACTTTCTTTTCAAATCAGAAAGATCACTGCTTTTCAATATCAACTCTAGCAGTTTTAGCTATTTAAGAAGGCTGATTTCAGAAAGGGCTACTTAGAACTGAACTCGTTAGCAGTCTTGTTCACGTGAAGTGTAACTGAGAGCAGGAATATATAAAGGTGATGATTATAAGTGGAGAAGTTAGGGAGACAGTGAGAGAGAAGTCTTTAATATCAACAGTTGTCATCAACATTGGGCTTAGTGATCAGACTCTTAGTTAACACTCATCCCTTAATAGGACTTTTTAAGGGCAGTCACATTGTTGAACAAAGTCATTCTGAAGACCCTTGTTTTTACAGGCAAGAAACTATATTCAGTCTTTGACCCAGATGCCCAAGATGAACTTTGCAAATGTATTTATTGGTGCCAATCCCCTGGGTAAGTTGACCATATCCTCATTTCATGGTATTGAATTGGTTGTGAAAATTAGCAATTTGAAGAAGAGTTTCTCCTTTTGAACAAATAGAGTGCCACTAATTAAATCTTATTATCAGTGTTTGTATTGTTAGATTTTTTTATAAAATCACACTATATGTTTATGTATTTGTAGATCACAAATTTTGGTGAGGGAAATGGGCTGGTACAGTGAAGAAAAGAGAAAAAGTAATGGGAATCTTGGGAGAAAAAATTGGGGAGCAGGAAGAAAGGTACAGAAGAAAACCCGAGACTTGTACACAGCTGCCATTGATTTTTTTGGTGCCCCAAGTTGAGAATAGAATCAACTGAATTACATATGGGTGTTTAGCAGACCCTCCTGGGAGCTCCCTGCAGTGTTCTCTGCCCTGTTGGTAACTGTCCAGGGCTATGGGTCCTGATTGCCTCCATATTTGAATACTCTCCCCCTCACCTCTTCTTCCTCTGCCCCTCAAAGCTTAACCATTTTCTCTGTGTAGCTAATATGCCATCTCAAAATTTAAGGAATGGCTCCATATTCCTTCTGATCCCCCGTCACCTCAGGATTTTTGGCAAAAGGAAATGACAGCTGAAAATATGTATTTTCTTGGCTAACAAAGGGGTTCCTCTAGTAAAGCCGGGATCTGATGTGTATTTCAGATGATGTCAGAAAGCAGTTTTACCTGAGGCTCTGATTCCTGACTCTAGGAGGGTGTAGTGGATAGTGATGTTTAATGCTAGATGCAGAAGGATAGACCGGGACCTGACTAGGGTAGGGAGGGGAGTGGTGCTGACAGCCAGCATAATCCGCCTTCCCACTTCACTGAAGATTACATTATAGGGGTAGGTCTTTCGTCTCTGTGTGTTAAGTCTCCGTAGGTCATCTCTCTGTGTGAGGGTCCTGGTGGCTGTGCTTCAAGTTTAGTTTTACCCTTTTGAGGACTGACAGCTGTGGTGACCTCTTCAGAAGCTGGGGTAAAAGCTAGGTAGTTTACCTTTTGAAGTACTTTATAGTGACTGAAGAGTCTCAGTGTGGCTGCAGTAATTCTTACAATATGAAGCACATGCTTTTTGAAGCATTGGGCAGTTATGGATGAATTCATGTCAGCCTTGGAGATAGAGAGTATGTCAGATCTCGGGTGGCTCAGTCTCTTGTTCAAGGATGAATCCGTAGGTCATCATGGGTATGGCTTAGTTTAGCATCTACCCTGGCATGCTGTCATTGGGCTTTGGGTGATTTATTTGAGCCACATTATCTAGTTCAGGGATCTATGAGAGGCTGTGTATAAGCCATAAGTACTCCAGGAGGCTGTGGAAAGGGAGAAGATGTGTACTGGTAGCTTTCTTGTCTGTCCTTCCATCCTGATTTTTTTCATCTTACCAGCCCCAAGTTTTAGACATGGCAGTGCTTACTGTCAGCCTCTCTGTTAACAGACTCAAAAAAGATTTCTTTCTATTTATTTATTTATTTATTTTAGTTTTAGATGGAACAATATCTTTATTTATTTATTTTTATGTGGTGCTGAGAATCGAACCCAGGGCCTCACACATGCGAGGCAAGTGCTCTACCACTGAGCTACAATCCCAGCCCTCAAAAAAGACTTCTTAATTCCATTTTCTGGAGGAGGGGAGATGCGTGTGTCCTGCAGCTTATTTAGGTCATTACATTCTCTGGAACCATGACATTTAAACAGTGAAAAGAACTAGATGCCACTTAGCAATACAGACTGCTAACGAGTCAAATGGAAGCTTTGGCCCATCTGGTGCTCAACACTGTGTTTCTCAGAGTTCAGACATTTCTTACAGCCTGTTGCCCAACAGTGCTAGACTAGTAGAGTCTCCCTTGCCTGGCGGGCAGACGTGGTGTAACTGATCACAAGCTTGTACCCATGATATCAGCTAAGCAGGAGGGCACCAAGGATCTAAATATTGACAGCTGTGTTGTCAGTCACTGACTTCCTCTCCCTCTTCTTTCCAAAATGCAAATTAAAACTTAAACTGCCTTTGTTGTTATTTATATCTATCAAGATCTTTGAGGGGCTGGAATTATGGCTCAGTGGCAGAGTACTTGCCTCGCATATGTGAGGCACTGGGTTCGATCCTCAGCACCACATAAAAATGAATTAAAAAAAATAAAGATATTGTGTCCATGTATAACTAAAAATATTTTTTAAAAGATCTTTGAGAAATATATTTTCTTATCTCTAACCTTATTACTCATCAAAGTATTGGTTTTGAGGACATGGCACTTTCTACCCTCAAATTACCCTGTAATCCATGTTCAGTTTTAAAACTCAAAAGATTTCTTTTTCTAAGAAGAAAAGAATATGGTAAGAATATATATCCAGGCAGTCCTCCCAGTACTTCAAAGTATATGCTTAGGAAGTTGAACCAACACATGGACATTCACTTTGTTTCTGTATCCTCCTGAAACCCATGTTTTCCTGTGTTTACTCTGGACTCAGGCTGGAAGACGGGTTTTCACAGCCTCCAGTTACACAACAATTGATCTCTTCTGGAAGCTGTCCTCCTCTTTAGTACCCATCCCCGCCCTCTCCACATTTAAGAAGAGATTTTTGCAAAGTCTCAAAAACCCTGCTTCACCAGAGTTACCACCGTGGCCATCCTCCCAAGTGCCATCTACCCCAGTGCCAAGACTCAGAGCATCCTTGCCAGATAGATGAGAAGCATCACCACTTTGTACCTCCTAATGAAATCACTGCCTTTGGGAATGAAAATCAGTAGATGCTAAAAGCCATGTGAAAAGAACTGATTTTCACCTGGTGCCAAAATGCCCTCAGATTACTTACTTGGGGAAAAGGGGAAACATTTTAACCCACTGATGAAATTTCACACCATTAACAGTTGGACAAATGGCCTTAAAGGCACTCTCAAGTACACAGCATCACCTGTGACTCATTCTTGCAAAAAATGTCTAACCTGATTCTTACCGATGTTTTAGATATAACTTTTGGATTTGGGGAAATTGAGGGGATAGAGAAAAGCAAAGGTATAGGTACATGTTAGCACAAAGAAGGAACCTGACCATTCCTAACAGGTATTCTAAGACAACTAGAGTGTCTTTCCAGATCAAAAACAGGAAGAAACGGGTTAGAAGAGTTTTTTTTTCTAGATTGAGAGACTATAGAAACCAAGTCAAATGCAATGCATGGTCTATAACTGAATTCTGGTTTCAACAAATGATCTGTAAAAGGCGACTTTAACATAATTTGAGGACTTTTAACATAAACAGGATTTTAAATGATGTTTGGAAATTGCTCAGTATAACAACAGTATTATGGTTATGTAGGAAGATGTTTTTGTTCTAAAATATATGAAGTATTATCTATAATTTTAAAACAGTTCATAAAATAATACATATATACAAAATATAAAATGTAAATTGTTGAATTCGCATGGGGTGGGGCACATGTGAGTATCCACTGTACTGTAGTTTTTATTCTGTATGTTTGAAATTTTTCGTAGTGAAAATTTAAAAAGTAAAATTCCCTTTTTGGGACTGGGACTGAAAGTTAGTGGTAGAGCACTTGCCTAGACATGTGAGGCACTGGTCTCATCTTCAGCATTAATTAATAAATAATAAATTTATAATTAATGATTATGAATAAATAATAATTAATAAAGTTATTGTCCACATATAACTAAAAAATTTAACTTCCCTTTTTTTCACTTCAATTTTACCTCAATAAAGCTATGGAAAAAAATTAAAAATAAATGAATTCCCTTTTTTTCTTTAGTATTATTATTATTTTATTTTTTGTTTTTATATGCAGTGCTGGGGATCAAACACAAGGCCTCCTGCATGCTAGGCAAACAATCTACCATTAAGCCACACTCCCAGCCAGAAATGTACTCTAAAAATACAAAATACAAACACACACGCAAAAGAAAGAAGGGATAATATATCCTAAATCAGATACTTTGGAGAATTTTTTGTTTGGATATAAAGGGTAAAAACTGTGTTTGCTTATTACTAAAGCATAATTTTGATAACATGTTAAAAAGTCTCCATTTTTCCTTCTAATCTATGATACTGAAAGCTGTCGACTTGCTGGAGAAGATGCTTGTATTGGACTCAGATAAGAGAATTACTGCAGCCCAAGCCCTTGCACACGCCTACTTTGCTCAGTATCATGATCCTGATGATGAACCAGTGGCCGATCCTTACGATCAGTCTTTTGAAAGCAGGGACCTCCTAATAGATGAGTGGAAAAGTAAGTCCTAAGAGCAAGATAAACGTGTACCTTGAGAACTTACATTTAAATATCTTTTCTAGGTAGACCACTAACCAAATGCCATGGGAAAAATCAAAATTCATGAATGGTTATAGTCAACTCACTGAAACTTATAGTTGAGATCCCTAGTGCAGAATAAATTTATTCTCTGATGGACTCTGTCTGTTGTAGATGACCACACTCTCTGGACCTTTGAAATGATTCTCCGAGTTTTTGCATTGATCATATCTCAAGATAAGTAAAGAATAGAGTGATTTTACAGTTTTATAATTGATAGAACTGAAGCAAAGAGAGTTTATTATCTATTGCTTTAACTTCATTAAGGACACAGCCAGGAATGGAACCCACGTCTCCTGTGTCCATTCTCACAATCTTTCCATAAAATATAAGTTTAGAACTCTAGTTAAATCTCAGAAGCCAGGACTGTCTGCTACAGCTATGAGTGCTCTGTTTTCCTTGAGCACTTTTCCCAGAGAGTTTTTAAAAAGAAGAGACACACAGCCATGAGACAAATGAGAAGAAATGGTTCTCATACATGTATCCTTGAGCGTCTGTGTAATCGTGTGTTTCACCAGGATTACACAAGTAATGAGGAAGTTCTTTGAAGTAGCTCAACCAACCACTGAATGGGAGGAAGCTGAGCTTAAAGCCTGCCAGCAAAAAGAAGAGTCTAAACTCTCACATGTTACTTTTCCTCCCCACCTTCCAGGCCTGACCTATGATGAAGTCATCAGCTTTGTGCCGCCACCCCTTGACCAAGAAGAGATGGAGTCCTGAGCGCCTGGTTTCTGTTGTTGATCCCACTTCACTGTGAGGGGAAGGCCTTTTCACGGGAACTCTCCAAATATCATTCAAGTGCCTCTTGTTGCAAAGATTTCCTCCATGGTGGAAGGGGTGCGTGTGTGTGCGTGCAGCGTGCATGTGTGTGTGTTAATGTGTGTGCATGTGCGTGTCTGTCTTTGTGGAAGAGTAACATAATCTGAGCAAACTATGATCACAGTGACTTTACATGGAGTTGTGGATGCTCCGAGGCAGCCTCTGCCTGCTCTTTCTGAATGTCGGCTCAGGTAGATAAGAGCTGCCATCTTGTTAAGGATATGTTAAATGCAAGGAAAAAAAATTTAAATGTCCCCTATTCTGGTGATGCTTTTGCCACTTTGGCCTCTCCTGTGGCCCCACCTTGATGGTAGGGGGGTAGACTAGATCACAACCACAGTGGCATAGAAAGAAGGCTCGCACCTTCTGACTGCCCCCCAGCGACGCAGACAGCCAAAAAGGACCAACTGGCTGCCGTGTACCAGCCTGTGAGTAACTTGCTTAGTATGGGCCTCAGAACTTGAGAGAATACGTCTGAAACTGTAAATATGTTTGTGCCTTAAGAGGAGAGAAGAAAGTGTAGTTGGTTAAAAGACCACAGCTGCTGAAGTTCTGAGCCAGGCAAGTAGACAGGGCTGTGAGCCCGGAGTAACCAGGCAGCTTCTGAGGCGGCCACGTGTGCGCATGCATATATGTGCTTTTCTTTCTCACTGACCCCCAGGTGTTGTTGCCATTTCTCTGCTCACCCCTCACCTTTTGTGCAGAGGTCTCTTGAGTATTGGCCCCAGCAGTCAGATGCAAGTTCCTGCTCTCGGTGCGCTTCCTGTGTGCTCTTTATTTCTAGCAGTGTGAGGATGTGTCTTGCACGTCTCGCTGTTTGAGCATGCACAGCTGCTCGTCCTGTTCTCTTCAGGAGGCCCTGGGCCAGGCAAGTCTGCCGGTGAAGATCTGTTTGGGTAGTCAAGCCCTGTGTCACCTTAGCTGATGCTATGAAAGTGACTTCATCCTCTCTTCGGCCCCCAGCGCTATTTTGTGTTGAACACAATTGATACTCCAGGTGCTCTTGATGTAAAAACCATGGGAAAAAAGTGGAATAGATGGATGTATAGCATTTTCAGTCTTGCCGTCTGATTTTCAACAGACTTTTGGGGAACTATCATGGACAAGACGAGGGCTTTTCCCAGGAATATCCCAAACTTTGGAAAATTAGTTGTTCTCTTTACTCCCAATAGCCAGTGCTGAAAATCAAAATGAAAAATAAAAGCTCATGAGGCCAGAAACTCCTTTTGCTATCTTTCTCTAAATATGTTTATTAAAAAAAATAAAACAGTCACAAGGTGTCTTTTCCACCCCTGTATGGAAAAGGGTCTTCTAGGCAGCTTAACATTGATTAATTTCTTGATCTTGGTTTGGGGAGAAATAAATTTTCTTTCAGAATTTTGTATTTTGCAGGAATCCTTTGAGAATGTGATTCCTTTTGATGGGGGAGAAAGGGCAAATTATTTTGATATTTTGTATTTTCACCTTTATAAAGATGAATATCCTCAGGGGTGGAGAAGAATCATTTTCATAATTTTCTGAATTTCAGGCATTTTGTGCTTCACAAGGGCCCGTGTATTTAAGCTTTCTGTGTGATAAGGAAGTGAAAAGCCAATTCTAGCGTTGGCTATGTGACAAATCTTGTATTTAGGCCAAGGTGTCTCCATTCTCTATTTGTGCAGTGACATACGTGCTCCAGAGGGACAGGGTAGAGCCCCTGAGTCAACTGGAGACAGAAGGAAGGAGCAGGCTGATGGTGAGTCCACCTCACCTGGGATTCTGCTCCCTTTAAAGGAAAGTGAACGTCTCCTTTATATGTAGTTCAAATCCTTACCATCTGCAGCAAGATGAATTTCATCAGCCATGTTTGGTTATAATGCTAGTGTGATTTCCTACAGAAATACTGCTCTGAATATTTTATTTAAAAAAACAAAAAAGGGGGGATTTGCACATGTGACCACATACGTGTTAGGAAGCTGAGTGCTCCCGGAGCCTGGACTCTGACTGGAGCCGGTGGAAGAGCTCCTGGAATTCTGAGCAAGATGCTCCCATCTCCTGATTTCTCTAAACAGAAGACAAAAGAGACAGAGGGAAACTGCTATTTTATCTGTGTTCATAAACTCGGCTGTAATCATTTATGCCATATAGGATGTCAGGTAACACCACTGGTAAAAATAAAGCCTATTTTTCAAATTCAGTGAGTTTCTCAGATTTATTGTTTTTTTGATTGTTTTTATTTAGTGCACAATATGGCATTGTGTAAATGTTCTTTCAACTGTGGCCTGGCATTCATTTCTGGCAGATCTTACTATTGGTCCTAAAATTTAGACAATATTTAGAGCGCTCCTTAGTTGTACATCTATGGTCAAAAGAATCTGGATCTTGGATGTGGATGGGTAGAGCAAAGAGCAAATAAGGTATTACTCAGAAGGGCCTGCATCACATTTGTGTGTAAAAGTGGCATGGGACAGGGGTCAACAAACTGACCCAAGGGCTAAATCCCACCCACCACCTGTTTTTGTGTAGCCTGCAAAGTATGGTTTTTACATTTTTAAATGGTTGAAAAAGATCAAAAGAAGATTATTTTTTGTAGCATGTGAAAAATAATGTAAAATTCAAATCTCAGTGTCCATAAATAAAGTTTTTCGGAATATAACCACCCTCATTTGTTTACATATTGTCTATGGCTGCTTTTGTGCTACAGTGACAGTTGAGTAGTTGCAACAGAGACCACAGAGATTACAAAATGCAAACTAGTTACCATTTGGCCTTTTACAGACATTGACTGACTGATTGTTGGCCTAGAGCTTCAATTTCCACATGTTTAGAAAATGAAATCAACTTGGTCATTCTAAGACTACAAACAGTATATTTTTATTTTTTAAAATTGCTAAAGAGGAGGTTGAATGTATATATATCTGCATAACATAATTTATAAAGCTTTTAGGCAAATGTGTTTTATGACTGTACGTTGTCTTAATGGCCCTTAAAAATACTCTACAGAACTACTAAATTGCATCATAAAGGGCATGGGGTCTCACAGAAAAGTTCTCAGAGTCCTGACTGATATGCTTCCTTTCTCAGTGTCCTAGGAATGACACCTGACAGATCCCTCAGGGGGATTGTGAGGCCCAGCCTGGGAGGATCTTGAGAGTGTGAACTTGGGTTTTTCCCTCCTGTGATGGCCAGTCCTTGGCTGGCCACTGAGGATAATGGCAGAGATAGAGAACAAATCAACCACAGCCTCCATTCTTGCCCTAAGAGAAAAGGACCCAAATTGTCACATGAGGTACAAGGGTTTGTTCCTCCAGTGAAACCAATATTGCAAAAATATATTGCAAAATGGATTATGCCTTTTCAGTGGCTCGGGAGGCTGAGGTAGGGGGATGGAAAATTCAAAGGCAGCCTCAGCAAAAATGAGGGGCTAAGCAATTCGTGAGATACTATCTCTAAATAAAATATAAAATAGAGCTGTGGATGTGGCTCAGTGGTTGAATATGCCTGAGTTTAATAGCTGGTACCAAAAAAAAAAAAGGTTACCAGGTGTGGTAGTACATGCCTACAATCCCAGCCATTTGGGAGGCTGAGGCAGGAGGATTGCAAGTTCAAGGCCAGCCTGAGCAACTTAGCAAGATGCTGTCTCAAAAAATAAAAAAGGGTGTGGTGGAGCACTTGCCTGGCATGTGTGAGAGACTGGGTTCAATTCTCAGCACCACATATAAATAAAAATAAAGGTACACTGACGACTAAAAAATAGATTTAAATAAAAACAAAAGGGCTGGGGATGTGGCTCAGTGGTAAAGCACCCTTGGGTTCAATAACCAATACCAGACACACTCCCCAAAAGTTGAGGGTTTCTTCAGTTTTGTGTAGGGCTCTCAATCTCCTCATCATCACAGTGTCCTTTTTTACGGCTGTTGGCACCTACCTCATCACCTTTCCCTTTATTGTTGACTGGCCTGAGTCTACAGATCTCCATTTTTCAGAGACTTTGCTTGATATTTGAGCAGTTTTCTAGCATTTATCAACTTCATCCAATCCACATCGTTTGTAAGACTTGTGATTATTCCAGTTAATCTGCACTGTATTTGCATCATTTGTCATGTGTTCACAATAGAGCCTTACACACCAAGAGAAGACTAGAATTCAAGGGGCAGGATACACTCTGGATTTAGATACTTATGAAGCAAGGACTATAGAGAAGTAGTCAATTCATTCATGAATGTCTCCATGTTGTAGTGACTTTCACTTCTCTATACAACCTGGTAGCTACAAGGCTTTTGTTAATGAATATGCTGATAATGAAGGCCCCTTTTATCCACAATTCAGTATGTTTTAATAACATACGTAGCATTTAGACTTCCAGAAGTCCTCACGGGTGCACAAAAGTGATGGTCAGTGCCACATTCTTTGTACTAGCAAAACGTTGTAGGTAACCTAAATGTCTATCAATAAGGACTCGATTGACTAAGATGGACATCTGGGCAGTGGAATAGCCTAGCATGCAGCTAGGCATGTGTGAATGTGCTAGGTGCATTACAAAGGACAAAAAGTAAGTGGCAAATTATAGTATACTCTTACCCATTTATTATTGATAGAAAATACAAGTTGAGTATCAGTCAGCGTTCCATTACTGTAACAAACTGACTTGGGTAAACAACTTAAAGGAGGAAAGATTTATTTTGGCTCACATATTCAGCGGTCACTTAGCCCCAACATTTTGGGCCTGTGGCAAGGCAGACATATCTTGGTGGGGAATATGTAGTACAGCCAAGCTGCTCACTCCATGGGAGGAAGAAAGAGAGGGTGAGGCAGGATTCTAATAGACCCTTCAAGGACACACCCAGTGGCTACTTCCTCCAACTAGGCTCCATGTCCTAAGTGTCCACTATCTCCCAATACTGCCATCCACAGGAGACAAAACCTTCAACACATGAGACTTGGGGGGACATTAAGATCAAACCAAGCCAGTATACCTTATCGAAAATGATTGGGATTAGAAGTATTTCAAGTTTTGTAATATTTGCATAGACTTTACTAGTGTACCCAACCTAATCCAAAAATCAGAAATCTAAGGCTTTTGAGGGTCAAGTATGACATTCCAACATGACAGCATTTTAGGTTTTCGGATTACATATGCTCCATCTGCACATGGCTGGGAAAAACTTAGAGGCACACCCTCTTATGTTGCTATTGACCATCCCTAGAGAGTGGAATTGTGTGCTCTTAACATTTTATGCTATTTATCTAATGTTTATTTTTTAAATACTGTGGAATTTGGGAGTTTTATTGTTTTGTGGGGTGGTAATCAGAAACTTTTTTTTTTCTGATGCAAAAGAGTTTTAAAATTCTGTGTGACCTGAGAGGCCATTGCTAATTTCAGTTTTTCCTGTTAGAACCAGCTTTTCAAGACAGAACATACTAGTAATGGATTGTGCCCAGCCGTCAGGCCTCTGGCAGGCAGAGTTCTCCCACTACTTTGGCGGCTTCTCCACCCAGCTGGGAGGACTCGATGGTTTCTTCCCCACTGGGAGGTTGTATTTTTAAGGAGGCAGGATATTGACATCTTGGGCACTAACTGTGGCACTATTGACATCTTGGGGTCAGGTAATCCTTTGTTGTGAGGGACTGTCCTGTGCATTGTAGGGTGTTTGTAGGGTGTTAGGGAGTACCCCTGGCCTCTGCCTCCTGGATGCCAGTAGCACACATGTTCCCTTCCACCTGTTGTAACAGCCATAGATCCCTCTAGATGTTACCAAATGTCCTGCAGTTGGCAAGATCATCCTCGGTTGAAAATCACTCATCTAAAGCTTCCTCCCTCTCATCTGACAGAGTACCCAAGCCCCTTTTCTTGAAAAATATAATTAAGAGTTAACTCTCACTAACCAGTTGTAACATAAAGAAGTGGTTTGGTATCTTGGAAGGAAAGTACAAATTTGAATGGCCCTTGTAAAGACTGGAGTAGATCATTTTGGGGGGAAAAGGAAGATGTTTAGTTCAGAGGAAAGTTCAGTACCAGGTTAAGGCCATTTCATTTCTCAACAAAACAAAGCAGTAGAGGTGGGAGTGGAGTGAACTAAGCCGTCCTTTGTTCAGAAGCTCTTTGGCCGTAGCCACAGAAAAGCTGGAGATTAGAGTGGAGTATGACTACAGGGTTTTCTTAGGCTGATTATGGAGTACCGTGAATACTGGGTTGTGAAGTCTCAGACCTGGGTTCAAATTTTAGTTTGACCTCTTGTCAAGTAGGTAACCTTGGAATAATAGTTTCTAGCTTTCAGGTGATTGGAAAGAGGAAATGAAATGAATTTCAGTGTGCCTGTTCTGTTGTGCACACTCAAGATCCTGGTTAGGTTGCATCTCACTTGAGTTGACATTGGCATTGAGACCATCCTGTTAGGGTGAGTTTGGGGTGCTCTATGGGCCAGGAACAGTGTCAGCCTGGAGAACCAATTGGGAGCAGAGCTCCTGAGGACTAGTTAGTCCAGAGGCAGTTTATGGAAATCGCCTGATACTGAAACTAGAAGTTGTGGTCTGAGGACTCATAGCCAGTCGGATTCTCTTGTATTGTGAATCTACTTGAAGTTAGCAAGAGTTGAATAAGGAAGTTGCCTTAAATCCAATATTGTAACCAAAGAATAAGATTATGTCACCACCTTTTGAGTGTCAGTTGTGGCAAGGGATAAAAAGATGTAAAACCCTAGGCCCAGCCTAGATCCTTGACAGTGACCGGCAGTTCTCAGCCCCATTGGATTCAACACCCTCTGCGTAATTAATATTTCATAACATCCCTTATATAAATCCTGAGGCAAAAGTCATATATAATTCATGTAATCATGGTTTCAACAAAAATACAATGATCTAATATAAATGATGAATAAAGAAAAACACAAACATTTCAGTATGTAGATGCTTAAGCAAAACAACATTAAAGGCATAATAAAGCAGTTAAGTCTCCTGCTCCTGTAGACCATCACCTTGACTGTGACAGCGGTAAGTGCAGAGCAAGGTAATTGTGTTGCTTTGGCAACTCAAATGCCGTGACTGACAGTAGTCATGATTTTCTGGAATTGGTAAACACTTCTTGGTAAAATTTCAAACAAAACAATTTTTATAATATTTGAATTTACTCAGTTGCACGCCTGGGAAATTTAGTATGTGAATACAAAAAAATATATATATTTGTTTTCTTTGTAAAATCAAGTTACAGTCTCAACTTGGATAATCATAAATAGTTCTTTTTTTCCCCATTGACATGAATGTGCAGCAGGACATTTGTGACATGAAGTAATTAATGGTGAGAATCTTACTCTGCACGGTGGCCCCCAGAATGCCCCCGATCAGTGTGACATCCAGAAATGACCCCATGGGTTTCCAACATGCACCTGTTGAGAACTGCGGACAGACAAAATGACTCAAGGGACATATGGAGCCCTGAGAAGTGAAACACTCTGAAGGACAGACCTGACTTCCTGTCCCTCCACTTTCCCTCCCTCCTCCCTCCCTACTAGAGAGTGGTTATTTTATGGACCTCCTACTGCATGTGAGGCGATTTGCAGCACTGTACTTGTATTCAATACAAATCTCTCGAATTCTCATCCAGAATCACATTACAACTAAGGGTGGGTTCAACTCAAAATATCAACCTTGAAAGACTCT